ATTTTTACCCTTGATAATTAATACATGTTTCCTGAACAATGTGTGTATTTATTTTTAATGTCTACCTAATTTTTCTCCAACTACTCATATAAAGTTAATGTGCATTTATAAGAGCAATATGTTCCCAACAAAATACTATAAAAAAATAATAAAAAAAAGGACAACTATTTAATGGAGTAGTTCAACAGTCTAAAAAATGCAAAAAAAAAAATAAAAGAGTAAAATTGGAAAGTAAGTAATAAATATTTTTGAAAACTAAAATATCAATAATTTTCTTAAATCCCGTGTAAAAACTTAAACGACTATGAAAAAAAGAACGGAGGGAGTAGTAAGGAAAATTATTATTGAACACTGAGGTCGTTGGATCTCAGCTACCTCAAAGTTGAAACGATCAAACAATTATTGCCCATTTCCAACATTCATCATTATTATAATTATAAATCGTTGGTCAGTCTCCAAATTAGACCCTCAAACTAATTTCTGGAGTAGTATTTTTCTGCGGTAACAGACGAAATTTGGAGCTCTTTAATATATTTTTATAACAATTTATATCTTACTTTGGGCACTACATTTGACAATTTTTTATTTTTAAGTTAAATTATAAGATCCTTTATTATGTTACTCTTTTGATTTATAAGATTCAATTATCTAATTTACTAAAATTAAAAAGATATTTAATTTAATTGATAATAATAAATTTTTTCTGTTTATAAAATATTTTTTTCAAATTACAATGATATTACTTCTTTTTTCTAATTAATATTCATATCTCCTAATAAAATAGAGTATATATATTTGTCTCCTAATTAATCAGAGTACTTGTCTTTTAAAAATATTATAATTAATGAATTTTATCAAATTAAGATAATACATATTAATTATGAATACTTTAGAATAAAAATAATTAATATATGAGATAATATGTATCATATCTTATATAAAAAAAAATATAATTATTCTAAGTTTATTCGTATAAATAGGAACAAAAATAGCATTCAATATGTGATTTGATCTTTCAATTTTCAATTTTAGAATTTTAATCTCCAAATTCTATAAAATTCAAACTTTTAGTCTCACATTTAAATATTCATTCATGACTATTAAAATTGCAACATGTATCATTACTTGTCATTAAGTATATGACTATTAACTAGTCAATTACTCTGTCCCATAATAAGTATCATGTTTAAAAAAATAAGTTATGTTAGCATTTCAATATAGTATTAATTATATTTTTTTAATTATACCTCTCATAATATTTTTTAGAAAATGATTATTGTGTAGCATCATTTATTGGAAAAAAAATTAATTATAAGATTGATTTTATAAAATTATTATTCTCTTTCATTTATTTATTAATTTTTTTATGTAAAATAAATTTGGACGACGTTATTATGGTATGTAATGAGTAATATTTAATAACTTTAGGTTAAATCATATTTCAGTTTCCATTTTTATTTTTATTTTTACCACTTGTATGCATAGTTTTAAAAACCGGACCGGTCATCGAACCGGTTAAGGTATTGGGTCAGTGGGTCAAAGGTTGAACCGGTGGGTCACTGGTTGAACCGCATGACTCGATTTTTATTTATTTTTATTAAAAAATATTCATATTAAATATATTTATACTTATAAATTTTAATAAATTCATATCTTATTTTAAATTTAATTTTTTCTATCTTATTTAAAATTATTTTTATTTTTATTTTGTAAAAAAATACATAAAAAAATTACATGTTAAATGGTATATTAATACAAATTAAAAATATAAATAATATGTACATATATAATATGCTTGCAATTAATATCACAAAATAATATATGTAATATTTACATAGATATTGAATTATTAAATATATAATTTAAAATTAATAATATACTATAAAAGTTATTTAAGTTGTATATATTGCAAACAAATATATTAGAACAAGTAGTCATTGTTATATTTAATAAGACTCCTTGCTTTTTCATTAAGAGATTCAATTTTCATTATTATTTTTGTGATTTATGGTCCCTTAAAAAAATTTAAAAAAAAAAAAAAAAAAAAAAGTGGTTGAACCGGTTTGACCCACCGGTTCACCGGTTGAACCGGAAAATTGACCGGTTCAATCCGGTTTGAAACGAGTCGACTGCATAACCGATCCAACTTCAGATTCGAACCGGCTGGACCACCGGTTCCAGGTCCAACCGGTCCGACCGGCCGGGTCGGTCCGGGTTTTAAAACACTGCTTGTATGTGATAAAATTGGAACCAAAAGAAAAATTTAGATTTTAGACTACATATTAGTTATCACATCATTTACTTAACGTCAATATTATAATTTTAATGGTCAAATAAATGAATATTTAACTGGATAAAAATAAAATTTTACAAAATTAAGAAATTAAAATTACGAAATTAAAAATTTGATGACGTTAATCACATATTGGATATTATAAAGGATAACAAAAGTAAAATTTAGCTTTTATCTATAAAAAATATATAAAAATAATTGGGTGATTTAGTGTATACAGTTTTTGAACTATTTTATACTTCTAATAACTACTTTTAAATAACCTTCTCTCACTGTCTTTTTTATTTAATTTTTATTCTTTTTTCTTTCTATTTTTCCATAAATCTCCAATTAACCACCTATTCTTATAATTTTTTGAGAATAATAGAGACACATAATGTCTCTTTTCTACTAAGTACGTAACTATAACATTTATAATAACTAGATTCTATAAATGGTATAATAATTAAACTTTATAATAACGATAGTGATATAAATTATATTTCAAATTTATGAGACATGTTTTTATTTCACTATAAAAAAAATATCATATAGTACATATACAGTATAGTAACACAATATTTATTATTAAAAATTATTTTTACCTAGTATATAGATACAATATATGATATATATATATATATATATATTATTAAAAATATGTAAATATAGATTATAGTGACACACAATATATATTATTAAATCTTATTTAAAATAAATATTAAAATTATGTGTATTATATGTTAAATAGATTTATATCTACATTTTTTGTATTTATAATGATATTTTTTGTATACCACTATATGTAATATTTATTGTAGTGTTTTATTTTTTATTTTCAAAATTCAAGAAAATATTAATTACATTTTCTGAATTATACTTTTATCTTCTGCTTAATCTTTAACTAATTTACAAATTTACAGCCAATATATATTCATTATGTGGTAAAAACAAAAAATGGTACAACTTCAAGGCTATTTTATGAAGAAAAAAAATATATGTTGTATTTTTTTTATGTTACGAAATAGATTGAGACCGATTTACTTGTGTCTCTATCTAGTACAAAATTTTGATAGGACGATTTTCTAAACTAGAAATCAAGCACATTAAAGCCCAATAAAATATGGGATATATAATATCAAATCATTTGACTTATTATCATAAATATTAATCTTAACATTATATGTATTTAAATTATATAATTAAAAAATTAATTAACTAAAATTAAAGTATATTTATAATATGTATTTTTAAATAAATAATATCAATATAAACATAATATCATATTAGGAAAATAATATTTATTAAGTTAAGTTGTGTTATTAATAGGCCTAATTACTATTTTGTTCTTTTTTTTTTTTATTTAATTGGTACAATTATTTGGTCCCTTATTTAACAAGTTGAATATGATCTCTTAATTTAAAAAGATGCAATTAATATTATCATTTTCGTCCCACTAATACGAACCACGTTAACTTCTTCTACATATGAAGAGTACATGTCTATTTTTTCACTGTACGAGTTAGCCACTGTAGTCTCAAATGAATGGAAATAGCAACAATATACTGTTTTTAAAAATTAAGCGATTGAATTAACTTTTTAATAATAAAGAGAACTAATTGAAATAATTAAATAATATAGGAAACCAAAAAATGCATAATCGATTAAAAATCATGCTTTTTAAAAATAATAAGACATCAAACCATCCTAATAGAATCGGCTTAATAGTAAAAACTAGAGTAATTTACATTATGTCGCAAGTTGTAATTTTATTCTCGTTATTGTAATATATATATATATATATAAAAGGAGGGTTATAATAATATCGGTGTAATTTTTACTTAGTATTACACTGATCAATAATTCTATATTAAATGTGAATTTTGTAAATCCAACCATTAGATTGAAAGTTTTTTACTCTTAGATCATCTATACAAAATTTTATATTAATATAAAATTATTTGATACTTCATTCTTATAAAACAAAATTAACATAATATATACATTTCAAAATATACTAAAATATGAACATTTTAATTACTTTTTTATTGTTCAATTTTAACAAAATTTGATATAAACATATAAAGTGATGTGAACTTTCAATCTAATAGTTGAATTTACAAAATTCACATTTAATATAAAGTTATTGAGTAATATAATACTTAGTAAAAATTACATCAGTATTATTATAACCCTCGTCTATATATATATATAAACTAAAATTCATGTAAACGATACATGGAGTCTAATTTCTTTAAATCCGTATTAAATAGATGTCTTTTCGGATAAGGTTGTTAGTGGGATCCGGAAAGAATTGTATAACCCTAATGTGTTTTGTGTGCAAAATTTGTTAGAAGTCGCTTAAAAAAAGAGGTGGAGGTATAATACGTAGAAGAAAGAAATTAAAGGTAAATTTTAGAAGAGAGAAGTATTTGACATGTTAAAAATAGGAAAAAGAAAAGACAGAGCAGTGAAAAGAGAATGAATGGCAATGGATAAGAATTGGGCATGAAACAAGTTGTACGTGAAGGGCAGCGGTGCAATTAACAAAACCCAACTGCGCTCCTAAATTATGTGTTTGTGTTCTACAAATCCGGAAGGTGATTTTGAATGATGGCCTTCAAAATCTCTGCATTTAAACATGGTGGGTCCCCGCAATATTAATAATGAATTAAATTAGTTATTGGCCACATAAATTAACAGTGAGCAATCTTTATATTGCTCAAATAGGACCGCCATGATCGTTGGGTTTCATCTTTATATAATTAGGAAGAAGGGTCGTTTCATCATTTTAAGTTCTTGCTTTACTTCTGTGCCTCACAACTCACTTCCAATGGCTCTTTGGTGCTGGAACCTGCTTTTTCTTTCTCTTCCTGCGATCCTCTTCTCAACTCAACCTTGTGCTTATTCCCAACAAGGTAATTTGCTTATTCATCTTCTTTTCCTCTCTTTTGGACAACATTGCCATGCTCAACTACACTGCTCACAGCCACAAACATGTACTGTTTCGTGTACCATCCAATTTTACCACCATTTAGTAAATATTCCAAGTAATAAAATAGTAATTATTTTGACAATTTTAAGTTATTTCAAATTATTCAGATTTTTTTTAAATTTTATTATTTTCATTACGTATTTTTCTTAAACAGAATGAAAAAAATATGAATTATGTGAAAATTCAATATTTTTTAGTAAAATTTTATTCAGATCTCTAAAAGTTATTACCTCTTTTATGATATATATACTAAACGAATGAGAGTCCTATTCTAATCTTAATTATAATAAACAAAGAATCCTATTTTAATCTTAATTATAAGAAATATAATTTAAAAATCATCTTTTATATTTTTAATTTATTAGGAGTTTATTAATAAGCTCTTTTTTTTATACTTATTTTTACAAAAGTAAATATGTTTATTAGACAACTTATACTATAAGTTGTTATTTGATGGAATGTATTCATTTGGACAACTAATATTGATTAAAAAATATATTCTTTCATTTTAGAGTAAGATTATTGAATATAACTATTATCTATATTATTTAATTTTATGAGTATTTTTAGAATAAAATATTAAATCATGACATTATTAATTATAGAAAATAGATAATGTACTGATGTATAAATTACTATATATCATCCGATTAGTAGAGCAAAAAAATGATTTAATTAAGACAAATGTTAACCAATGCTGCTAGCTATTTTCTTTTATAAGTAAGAAATATTTCAATGATAATAATGATATATTTGCCCCAGCTCTTGCCTCCCTTATTATTGTGCCAACCCTAATAGTTTTAACCAATGGTATTGTGAAATTATTTATGAAATTATAATTATAATTTTTTCATTAAAAATAATTTCAAAACACTCCACCGTGGTTTTTAACCATGTTTTTTTGTCCAAACTTTTTACTGTGTTATTTATTTTTTATCGAGTACCATACCAAAACTTTTTTAATCATATATATATTAAAAAGATGAGAGATTCGTTTACTTTAAAAATAAGTTTATTTAGTTAAATAACTTATGTTTCAGTTAAATAACTTATGTTTTATATTAAGTTTTAACAATCCAATCGTTAAATTTAAAGTTCTTAATACATAGATTAAGTTTACAAATTTAAAAAAAAAATAAAAATTATTTGATATTTCATTTCATTAATTCAAATTGACGAATAATCATAAAATTATTTTAGACATTAATGTGAATTAATGAAACGAAGTATCAAATAATTTTTAAATTTTTTTAAAAATTGCAGATTTGATTTATGCATTAAAAACTTTACATTTAATAGTTAAATAGTTAAAATTTGATGTTGAACATGAGTTATTAAACAAGTTTGGATAGAGAGGAGTAAACAAATGTCTCATCTTTTAAAAATGGTAAAAACATATTAAAAATCAACTCTTTTATTTGTATTATGAAATTAGTTTTATTCTTCTTATATATACAGAAGGAGTATATAGTCAGAGAATACAGTTTCACCTGATTACAGTTGTGTCCTGGCTAACTAGAAAAGTTTAGAGGAAGTAGAATAATTGCAGCCAGGAGAAACTCAAAAAACGTAAATTCGCTCAACTAACTACCACATGGCCTTTCATTAGCTGGGAGGAATTTAAATCATAGACAACGATAGATGCATCAAAGAGTTTCTCTCACATATTCACAAAGACAAAAAAAAAAAATGGTTAAGACAACTAAAATGATAATGACTAATTAAAAATATTTATTATATAAAAACTATGCAAAAGAATATTAAAATAGTTTTTCAAGTATTTGAATATATTTAATAGAATAAATTAAATATTCTTCTACCAACTAATAAAAGTAGACATAATTGGCGGGTAGTTGCATTTAGTAGAGTTGAGTGACACAGACCAGTTCATATATATGATGACACTTCTATATATGTTTGATGGAGTACATTTTAAAATAGAGCGGAATTCAACATTATTTAGTGATAGAAGTTTATATTTTTTAATTAAATTATTTAGAATTTAAATCTAACCTTAAATATATGATAGATGAATTGTCACTTTGAATACATTCATAATCTTTAATAGAGATTAGTTACTATTTGTTGATAATGAATATTTTATATTAATATTATAGTTTAAAAAATATGAAATAAAAAGTTGAGATAATATTTGAGTTCTACTAAAATGAGTGAACCAAAGATAATAAAATAAAGTTTTTTTTTATCTATTGTATCTACGCACTAAATGCCACCTTAATTAGGTTAATTAGCTAGTATATATTCAATTATTGAATATGTATACGGAAAAAATATTAGAAAAAATAAAGTTTACTTTTGATAATATTCACATCTTAAAATGATTAATCATTATGTGCTAACTTAGAGATGTCCCTGGTTTTCACTAAATAAATAAATAAATAGTTTTAAACCAATTATTTTTACATTTCTAAAGGAATAATTTTAACAACTTTGATTTATAAAAATTAATTAATTAATTTTCAACTAATATTATTAAAACATTCATTATCAAAACTGAAATTTTGTTGAAATGTAGATAGATGAATAAATTAAAATAACCTTCCGATCGAATATATAAAATATGCATGGATCCTTTTAATATTAAGGTTTAATATGATAAAATTTAGTTTCATTAAATAAATGCAGTTTGGTTGGGGGAAGGAACTTATACAATATAAATCAAACCAAAAATTAATATAAAATTAAAATATAACCTATTATTTAGACGAAAGTGCGTGTTTGTATGATGAATACCTAAATAAATGGCCGTTGTGGTTGTTGAGTTGTACTAAGGCAGTGAGCCACTGACCTTAAATATTGATTTTGACATAGCACCTCTTTGGTGACCCCTGTTTCTTTTATTTAATTTCCTTTCGATTCAAAGATGATAAAGAGGGATACATATTTGAAGACCATCGCAAACGAGAAAAACGAAATAGACTAAGAAGGAAAACTTCAGCTATGTGTTTCCATGAAATTAAAATTAGGTTAAAATATTTTTTTAATTTTTTTAATACATATGATTTAATATAGATTTTTTTAGTATTTATTGTTATGTTTTTGAAAGTTGTTTCTTTTATGACAGAAATATTAATTTATCTTTATGTATTTGATGTTAAATTTAGTTTTTTAAAATTATTCTAAATTAAATTTATCAATATTTTATGTTTTATTTATATCTTCACCTGTCAAACATTTTTTTTTTTGCTTTCACAAAATTTGAGATGTCTATCTACAAATAATATTAAAAAAATTAACAATAGGAACTACGTACACATATAAAGACTAAAATTTTTTATCTAAAGTTATAGAAACTAAAATGAATTGAATAGTTAAATATAAAAACTAAAAAATATATTTTAAATTATAAATACTAAAGAAAAAAAGAAAAATTATAGACTAAAAAAAATATTTTAACCATCAAAATGTTACTATTACTGGTATCACTTTAGTTATATATATTGTATTTTCTCTATACAAAAAAGAAAAAGGTCTCTTTTACAGTCTTTTAACTTTAGTGAAATTGATTAAGTAAATTACGTAACTCCTTTAATAATATTTTTGTGATTTATGTTGGTGTACAACAGTTTGAATAATTTTGTAGTGAATGGAGTATCCTATGATTCCTTTAAACAAGTTTGTTTGGAAGTTAAATATAATTAAATTTTAGAAATGAAAGGAAACAGCAACCGAGAAGAGATGAGAGATGAGATTGTGTGGGAAATCTAACGAATTGGTACATATGGACAGTTCCGAAGTACAGATTCATGCAGAATGCGACGAGGGCAGCAGAGATCTCATACTACGACTACATCGTGATTGGCGGAGGCACCGCGGGGTGTCCTTTAGCCGCTACACTGTCTGAACATTACAGCGTGTTGCTGCTGGAACGCGGTGGGTCCCCCTACGGCAACCCCAACATCAGCAACTTAGCTTCTTTCGGCGCCGCCCTCTCCGACACCTCCCCCACCTCTCCCTCGCAGCGCTTCATCTCCCAAGACGGCGTCATCAACTCAAGAGCCCGCGTCCTCGGCGGCGGAAGCTGCTTGAACGCTGGCTTCTACACTCGCGCCAGCCCTCAATATGTCAAGTAACTAACCAAACTACTCCCACCCAACAACCTTAACTATTTTTCTCCACATTGCTAACTGCTAACTGCTAACTGCTAATGTCTTGTTCTAGGGAAGCCGGCTGGGATGGAAAGACAGTGAATGAGTCGTACCAATGGGTAGAGAAGGTAGTGGCGTTCCAGCCAGAGGTGAAGCAGTGGCAATCCGCTGTCAGGGATGGGCTTCTCGAGATAGGTGTAGTGCCTAGTAATGGCTTCACTTATGATCATATTCATGGGACTAAGGTAGGGGGCACTATCTTCGACCACAATGGCAACAGGCACACCGCTGCTGATCTTCTCCAATATGCCAACCCCTCTCGAATCACTCTGCTTCTGGACGCCACCGTGCACAGGATCCTCTTTAGAGTCAAACCTGGTTCAAGGCCCAAGGCCCATGGAGTCGTCTTCAGGGACTCGCTTGGCCGTAGACACAAAGCCTACCTCAACAACCACCCGAGGAACGAGATCATTGTTTCGGCGGGTGCTCTCGGAAGCCCACAGCTCCTAATGTTGAGCGGAGTTGGGCCCGCGGACCACCTCCAGGCCCATAAAATCAAAATAACATTGGACCAGCCATGGGTGGGACAGGAAATGTCGGATAACCCAATGAACGCGATCTTCGTCCCATCCCCTGTCCCCGTAGAGGTGTCTCTCATTGAGGTTGTCGGAATAACAGATTTCGGCAGTTACATCGAAGCCGCCAGCGGGGAAAATTTCGCCGGTGGGTCCCCGCGTGACTACGGGATGTTCTCCCCCAAGATAGGGCAACTCTCGACGGTGCCCCCAAAGCAAAGGACCCCAGAGGCCCTCGCTAAGGCCACTGAATTGATGAACAATCTCGACGAAGCAGCCTTCCGAGGCGGATTCATCTTGGAGAAAATCATGGGGCCCATTTCAAGAGGACACTTGGAGCTCCGAAGCCGCGACCCGAACGACAACCCGTTAGTGACGTTCAACTACTTCCAGGACCCGCGAGACTTGGAGCGATGCGTGAAGGGCCTGACCACCGTGGAGAAGATAATCGAATCGAAGGCGTTCTCTAAGTTCAGATACCAAAACATGCCACTCCCCATGCTTCTCAACATGACCGCCAGTTCACCCGTTAACTTGTTACCCAAACACACCAATTCCTCCTTGTCTTTGGAACAGTTCTGCAGAGACACTGTGATGACCATTTGGCATTACCACGGAGGCTGCCAAGTTGGGAAGGTTCTCGATGCCGACTACAAGGTTCTCGGTGCGGACGCTCTGCGTGTGATTGATGGCTCCACCTTTAACTATTCCCCTGGGACTAATCCTCAGGCCACTGTTATGATGCTTGGCAGGTACGTACACTGTTCTAATATGAATCTGTTATCTGCCACGGTTTTTCATCATGTTATGTTGTACTTTAACACGTGTCGTTTCTGATTGGCTGCAGGTATATGGGAGTCAAGATATTGAGTCAGAGACTTCGCGCGGAGCAAATACAGCAATAAGTTGTATAGTTTTTCTCCGTTTTTAGGTTTTCATCAAATGTTGTGTTTGTCTCGCTGATAGAAAATTAATTCTTGTCAGAATATGATTTATCAAGTGTTAGACATGGTTCCTGTAATTCATGAATTGTAACAAAAAGGGAAAAAAAATTTACTTGTTCTGAAATTCTGATTACGACCGTGGATGAGCTACTTTTTAAGGATGATTTAGAAATAATGTTTTAAGTATTTTGTGGTTTTTTAAATTAAAACTTGAGTTTTATTTCAATGATTCATTTTTATTTTGCTAAACTATTTTAATGATTAGTTGACTAGCTATACATATACGTGTTTTGACATTTCCAATTCTCAACTAAAAATTTCAAATTTTGTCTTAAATATAGTAACTAGAGCTATTATTTATTCCTAAAATAAATCAACCCGGTGGAGGTTTTCATGGGGAATTTGTATTATTTAAGCTTATATATCACCAGTAACTTAACTAGTGGAGAATTTTGTAAGAATAACTAATCATGTATATATGCTCGAAGAATCAAAAGATTAAAAACTGCATATCCTATGGTATATAACCCTATGCATTACGGAATGAGCTTTCGAGAAACGTACAGATTTTAACCATTGGACAATTTATTTAAAAGGTAAAAATATGTATCCACAACTTTTTTTCCCCCTCTTATTCTTGGAGAAAAAACACTTTCCATGTACACAATACACATTTTACGTCAGCTATTTTAGGGGTTTTAACGTCAGAAAAACTTCCAACGTAGAAGCGAGAAACGTAAATTTACATCGGAACGCGAAAACCGACGTAAATTTACGTCGGACAAGCCAAGGTCCGACGTAAAAAAGTCATAAAAATTAATAAATAAATAAAAAAAAAGTGCAAGCAGAACGACCCGTTCTGCTTGGAGAACGACCCGTTGCAGAACGACCCGTTCTGCTTGGAGAACGACCCGTTGCAGAACGGCCCGTTCTCCAATCAGAACAGGTCATTCTCCAAGCAGAACGGCCCGTTCTGCTTGATAAACCCAGGAGCAGGTTCTCCAAATCCGAACTTCGTCACTTCCTTCTCTAGCTTCAAAAACTCGAAATGCAACACAAACATTATTACGAAAAAAACATCCCAGAAAACACAAACTTGATAGAAGATGCTACCTCATAGAAAAACAGATGGACGTATGGTTAAGCCATTTCCATCAACACGCGAAGAAGAAACCAACACAACCCTCCGAAGAAGAAAAACAGAAGAAGGTGCAGATGAGGAGGACAACCACGATTTGAGGAGGCTTCGGAGGGATGAGGTGCAGAAGAAGGTACACAACGCGCGGGAGAAAGAAATTTTTGAAATCTAGCCATGCGCGCACACCTTCTTTTAAGCGGGCTGTGGGTTATTTACGTCGGCCCTAATTGGGTCCGACGTAAAAGTCATAAAAATTACGAAACATGCCACCACATTTTTATTACGTTAAGTGTTTGTATTTTCGACGTAAAATGGGTGACGTAGTATCCTAATTTTCCACTAACGCATGCTACTTCTTATTATCAATATTAACTATAAAGTCATTCAGTCATAAGAAGTCGATAAATTCGAGACCTCTTGTCACTTATAGTAACTGAAGGGTTCACATGAGCAAGTTCCTAATTCCTTCGAGGCTCTTGATAACCAAAAGAATCATACCAGTAAATCCTTGATCCTTTTAACACTCTCGATAATCAAGAAGGATCACATAAGCAAACTCTCAACCCCCTCCCCTCGTCATTCTCAATAGTTAATCGACTTGTGTAGGTAAGACATTATATCAATCCAAAATCCGTTAATAGACCTTTCAAGTTATAACGTCTCATTAGACCGCTAAAACCAAATGACCCTTTTTTTGCCCTTTTAGTAGTCGATAAGGTTGAACGAAATACAAAAATCTATAACTTAAATTATGATGACATAAGTGATTAATTAGGGTTTAATAATTACTATATAACTAATTATTGACATATTACCTAATTGGTAATCTTAAGATGTCATATAAGAGAATTTGGATCTATCATAATTAATATAAATAGTGTCACATCTCAAAATAAAATTATTGTTCATATTCACATTTAATATATCAAAAGAATAATTTACTTAAATATCAAAATGTTTTTTATAAATGCACCTTCCTCATTCCTAACATGGATACGTAACCAAATTAAAAAATAAAGAGGAGTGAAAACATCATCAAGAAAGAGAAAGAAGTATCTTAGTATAGATACAAATACATTTATACATACATATTTTAATATATTTTTTTGTATTTTAGTTTTAGACACTTTTACTCTCTTCTACTTATATATAAAAATAATATATATTTTAGAAGCTTCTTTTTTATTTTGTATTTTACAATAAATAATCTTGTATATATAAAATAAATAAATAATTATTTATTATAAATATTAGTTACATAAAGTAAATTTTATAACTATAATTATATAGCTGATAAACGATGTTATAATTGTGCACGCATCTACACTTGTCTATATACGTACTTTTCAAACCGATAGTGTAGGATTGAATTATGAAGAAGAAAAAAAAAAAGTACCGTATTAAAAAAATGAAGAAGAATATAACGTGGAATATTCGATGTGGGGCCAGATATTGTTGCGAGTTTTTTATACGTTAAAGAAAGTAAGAAAGCATCTGGACCTTTGGCCACGAGCTGGAACCCTTTTCGACAGTATTCCTGAGTCCATCGATCTCCAAAAACATGGTTGCAAGGACAGCGAATTCAAGACAAGAATCTCTCAACATTGTAGTAAGAATTTGGTGGTCCTTTTTTAGAGACAAGATTTTCCGTGCTTTGCATGGAATGCGTAGAAAGCAGGCACTACCCGATTAATGGAAAGCATATGCTGCAAGCATATGCTAGCTGCTGCTTCATCTCGCTATATAAATTAATGCCTCTTCGACCTGTCTCAAGCATCCACAGCACAAGCTAATGTTGTGACTCATATTCAGCGGTGTTAATCGAGATAAGCGAACCAGCTGCGGGGCATCTCTTCTTTGGCACACACATAAATCAGTTACCTTAATTGGTTTCAGCTTTCCAAGAGGCGCCAAAGGAGAGTTGCCCTGCAACTGATTCTTGCTTAATGGATGCAGCTCAACATCAGGCACAAGCAGCGCAGCGTTCTTCATGCCATCAAAGGTATTATTAATTTTAATCCATATAGAGTCCTATTTGTAGCTAGCTACGTAATTTCTATTTTAACTTCTCAATTAATTATGTGCTAATGCACGTCCCCGCAACATCATATAATGCATGAAGCTCTTAATTACATTGCATCTTTTACTGCATGATGAAGTTAAACAGTCTCTCGCTTGAACGAGACTGCAAGTTTAAGAGTTAAGACTTCAGAGACTAGAATAGTCTTTTGGATATAAATTAGCTTTTCCATAAATAAAAAGATAAAAAATAAAAAATAAATCCTCAATTTTAGTTGAAAAATTCTTAAAATTCTTTTAAACTTGCATTCAAACATATTTGATATACAAATAGAAATTGGGGTGCGGATGACACGACCAGGTTCATCGGGGTTCTAATATATAGATCCAAATGTAAGCAACTATAATGTATGGTAATCATAATTAAGGTTCCATATACGATATATGCATACTAGCAATTCAATTAGAAATCTTCGGATCCCAGGTGCTGGAGCGTTGTGATGTGCTCATCTTTCTCAAAAGAAAGTAACTTGAAAATAATTTATCAATATATCTCCTTCTATCAAACTGCAAAGCAATTAAGCGTGTTCTGATCCATGTTATCAATGAGCATTGACCTTTTCAACAGCGGTGCCTCGGTTATCCAAGAAAAATTGTCTTGAGTGGACAAATTGAGATGTAAACATTAATGAGGATCGTGCTAATTTATCCCTTGACACATGGGCTCTACAAATTGATTTAGTGGGATATCATATACATATTCATATGTAGTACCCAGTTACACGAGTCCTCCCCAATGATATTATATAATAACAAGCTAATTAAGAAGACTGATGCTTCATTCAGAGTTACTTTAGATACATTTCTCTCAAGCATTTATAAAAAAGAAGAAATAAAATAAAACAGTATGGCAGAATCAATCAAACTTCTTATACAAACTAAAATCACTTATACATAATCTTTTCAAGACTTCTCTCATTCAATATCTATAAGTATCTATAAATTTATGAGGGGCATGAGTTAGGAATCAAATACTTTGTCTCAATTTGAAATCTTCCGCAAGCTAAAAGCTAACACATGCCAGGTCTTCGACGCACTACTATTTTGTAATGTGGAAAATAAGTTTTATACATTGAATGATAAGAAAGAGTGGGAGAGATGTAAAAAATTTTAACAGAAAGGAGATAAAGAGATGCATATATAAAAGGGAGGGTTTTAAAAAAGAATGGAGGGACACTTTGTTCCATTCACAAGAGAAGAAGAGAGGACTCATTTGTAGGTGATGATGAGTTTGTTGAGGATGTTGATGATTAGGGGTGTACAAAAAATCCAAATTAATCCGAACCGATCCATAACCGAACCGATCCATATTGAAAAATCCGATCCATTTTGAAAAAAAATCCGAACCGAACCACTTTATAAAACCGGTTCAGTTATCCGATCCATTTTTACAAAGTGGATCGGTTCGGTTCGGTTTGGTTTTCTAAAAAAACCGATCCATATGTGAGTAAAAAAGTGGATAACTGCACCGCACCGAACCGATCCAATTTCAAAAAAACCGATCCATATTTTAGAAAAACCAAACCGATCCACTTTATAAAAAATGGATCAGTTAACCGATCCACTTTTATAAAACGGTTCGGTTCGGTTTGGATCGGTTTTTTCAAAAAACCGATCCATGAACACCCCTATTGATGATATGAATGCGAAAGAAGTTTTTGGACATACCTTGATGGGATTTTACATCCGCGTTATTTTTGGATGTTTTATATTTTTTCTCTGTTTTCGTTTGATATTTAAAAACCTTGGATACAGTTGTGATGGTATTTACAGTGTCAAATGTTTATTTGTTTTCAGATAAAGACTTTAAATTTTGTTTTAAAAGTTATATTTGGATGTAACATTCTTTACTTTGCAAAAAAAAAAAAATTAAAATACGTTGCTTTTAAACAATAATTTCGCATGTGTTTTTATTGAATATTTCGGGATATGAGGTTTTACAACATTGATTATTCTAGTATAAGTTCTACTAATTAATTATTTTATGTTTAGACTCATTATAGTGCCAATTACCTTGATTAAATTCTATTTATAATTATTTCAATCTCTAATCTCAAAAATTAATTATTTCATCTGTAATAGCATGTCTACACTAGTTAATCTCCTGTATTAAAGCTTAACTTGAGCTCCTAATTAAATTAATCTTTAATTTTTTTATAAAAAAAAATTATTAATGATTTGATTGATCTCTTTACTTTGACTTTTGTTGACCCTCTTTAAATTTTGTTTGATCATACTTAATTTTAGCTTAATTCATATTTATCTATATTAACTACTTTGTTTTAGGACTAGTAATAGTCACTAATGGACTTAAATGGACATTTCTTTATTTTCTAAGATATTACACTATGCTTTTGCACGAGCATTAATTATTTCTAAAGCCATATAAATTTTCGAGAGTAGCAACAAATCTTACTTATCTAGTCTAAGTTATATTAACCAATTACTTTATACGTAGTCTCATTAAGGAGATAACCAAGTGTTTTAGAATATAAGTTTAATGATTTTAGATTAGATTCCCTCGCCTGTAATTTCTTACTAATTAAGTTGTTTTTCTAGTAACATAAGTTAATTATTTGGGCATATAAGTTTATAAAAGTTATAATTTTATTTATAGTCTTTGTCTTTTAAACATTAAACTTTTCTCAGTTATTAGTAAAATTAAATAAGGAAGTGAGCAGTCCATGACCCAAATGTGCTAATTTGATCTAAACTTGTTTATTACATTAGTTATTAAATCGGACTAAAAAGACTTGCATTTAATTTTAACTTTTAGATTTAGAACCCAAATCTTATAGTATATCATACGAGTTTGAGGTAATCAATCCATTTTGGGAGCTCAATCTTTGTCATCTTTAAATATTTTTTTTTGTAATCATGATATCAATGCAAAATATTTAACGTTGAAAGTAATGAATAATCTTCATCAAGGATAAGGTATTCTTCCATCAACATAATTTATCTCATTTCTAATGTCAACATTTGAATTATGCACAACGTGACTAAGAGATGTAAATTACTACTATTTGTGCAACCAGTGTTTGTTCTCCTTCAAGCATTTTGCGATTGAGATGTATGATATATCTACATGTTAGCTAGTGTGATTATAAAAATATTTTGAAGTATATTGTTAAAATAAGTAGAATTAATAATGTAAATAGAATACTGGTTAAAATAATAATCGTGTAATATAAAAAATATTAAAAAATTATATATATATATATATATGTGTGTTTTTTTTTTCTTTAAGCTATAATTAATCTAGTCCCGAGTACTACCAAACCGTGACTTTAGAAGCCTTTTTCTAATGATGTACTTAAACACACTAATTAACTGTGTTGGTGGAATAATTGGAATTAAAGCAGCCAAGTGTTAGAAGGGTACATATGGTGAGACTGAGAAATGAGGGAATATAATTTTGATTATACAATTACATAAAAATAACTAAAATTGATTAAACAACCTCACATGATATATTTCACACACACATATATATATATATATGTGTGTGTACGGAATTACATTTTCTCCTTCCCTATTGTCTCTCTAGCTAAAAAAAACATATATATATATAAAATACTACTAGTACTTAATGTAGAAAAGGATAATAGTAAATTTTAATAAATATTTTAAAAAAGAGAATAAAATATAAGAAATAAAAACTAGCTGGAAACTAAGATTTTAAAAAATACTACTTAAACTATAGTGTACGTTTACACAAATATTATTACAAGTTACCCATAAAAACTTGTTTATCCAACATTAATAATAAAGTTAAACAAAATCTTTGATTAACAATAATAATAATAAGCAAGACAGTAGTGATAAAGTTACGCTTAGGGACAGAACTTCTTAGTGACAGGAGAGTCTTGGTCTTCCAATTTTTTTTTCTCTCAAAATTATATATAAGTGTGTGAGAGAGAATAAGAAAAATAAATGAAGCATACAATTATTTATAGATGAAAAATATTTAATAAACAAAAAATTATTAGGTTGTATTTAAATTAAACTTGAATACATTGGCATTATATAGAAGTAATTAACTTAGATAATAGACAATTGGTGATTCAAAAATATTAATAATTTTCTTCTCTAAATTTTTGCATTAATTATTATTCAAACTCGTGTTTTTTTAGTACAACTTTACTACAGTCTCTTTTTAACTCTGTTTTTATTATTTTGGTTTACTTTTTATATGATGAAAGTTACAAAGAATAATTTCGTAGAAAATTATTGTATGATAATATATTTTAAGAATTCATCTTCTTCTTTTTTCTTACAAAAAACTATAACAATTTTTTTTTATAGAATTACAATGAAATAGCAATTAATTTATAAATAGCTTTTATTCAAAAAGAATTTTGACTCCCCCTAATTTTTTTCTTCAAGCTCCACCACTTCTGAATTATGTACAAAACCAATTAAAACAAAATGGATCTTGTCGAGTACGTGGAGTATCCAACTATCCATATTTCCGCAATAGCTAGGAGAAAGACAAAGGATTTGAACTGGAGGAACGTGAAATTGAAGCCAAATGGTTGGGGTTGGGGCCATGATGCAAGTCAAAGTGGCCGGTCCAACCATAAACGGGTGCGTTCATAAAAAGACCGCGTCAATGCTGCATAATGCATATTGATTCTAGTTGTTGACTCACCAAAACAAAATTATCCACCCCATCCATCAAGAAACTCATAACAACGAGTGCCATAAGTTCACAACCAACTCTAAAACGTGATGCAGTGACAAAGCAGTCAAAAACTGTCATTGTCCAAAAGCATTAGGCTGATGTGTGCTAGTTAGTTCTTTACCTTTGGTTGTTTATCATATTCGCATATTACGACTGCAAAGTTCCAAATTTCCGATACCACTTTTGCCCCTTATATAAAAGCACGACTTGACCTCGAGATGAGATCACCACATATATATATGGACCAACCCCTTCCAAACGTATAGCTGTAGTGGACAGTGATTTTCACCGGTAATCTTTAACTCCATTAATGTCATGAACCAACCTAATTAGTTCAACATTTTCAGTAATAAATATATATGTCACGAACTTCCCAACTTTACTAGTATTGCCATAACCCACAAGCAATAATTTATAGTCAACTCTGCATCTATCGCTAGCACAAGGAAGATCAATGTTAATAACTTAGTGGTGGTTGAACGCCCCCACATGAATTAGAAATTTATTACAACAAAACTTTTTTTAAGTCAATGTTTTGAAATTTGGAGAGGACGACCGAGTCCACAGAGCCAAAATGCACCCATCTCGTGCTGAAGCATCATCACAACCCTGCTTTAATGGTTGTTTCCCGTCTCCAATTCTTGCTTCTGAGAGGTACCATAGTGCTACTTCCAAGCCTAGAGTCAACAACGTAGCTTCATCAAACGATGGGTTCGCCGCAGCCACATCTTCCACCCTTCCACACACACATTTCACAAACCACGAGTCCCTTCCAAATGTGCACGATTCATACACCAGCTTCACCAAGGCATTCCCTCAATTTTCCACAACTTCTGAAGTGGATCAAATTCGAGCCCAAGAATACCATCACTTGAACCACTCCAACACGGGCTTCGATTACACGGGATATGGCCTTTTCTCCTATGCTCAGCAACAAAGATGTTCCCCCGCGATTGCTTCTTCTTCTTCTTCATCATCATCATCATTGCCCTGCTTAACATCCGACGCATCCTTCTTTGATGTGTCCTACAAGTCGGTGAGCTTGCAGTCACAGGCTCTCTACGGTGGGCACGAGTCAGAACTAGAATCAAGAATGAGAAAGAGAATCATGTCGTTCATGAATGTCTCAGAAGCTGAATACACCCTTGTTTTCATTGCTAACGAGGTATCTGCCTTTAAAATTGTAGCTGATTCTTTCCAATTTCAATCCAAAGGACAGATCCTCACAGTGTATGACCATAGCAGCGAGGCACTGGATGTGATGATTGAGAGTTGCAAGAAGCAAGGGGTGCATGTCTTGTCAGCAGAATTCACCTGGCCTAGTCTGAGACTCGAGTGGAGGAAACTAAAGAAGATGATAATGAACAAAAGGGCAAAGAGAAAGAATGGTCTATTTGTTTTTCCACTTCATTCAAGGGTAACAGGAGCACCATATTCCTATGTTTGGATGTCCATGGCACAGGAAAATGGGTGGCGCGTCTTGCTTGATGTGTGCGCATTGAAACCTAAGGAAATGGGAACCTTGGGTATGTCTCTTTTTAAGCCTGATTTCATGGTTTGTTCGTTTTACAAAGTCTTCGGAGAAAACCCATCAGGTTTTGGGTGCTTGTTTGTGAAAAAATCTAGTGTCTCTTCTTTGAAAGATCCGGGGAACGCTACAAGCATAGGAATCATAACCCTTATCCCAGCGTTTAGACAATCTCATCATGACACTGAAGACGTAGTAACTGAAACTGAAACGGAACAGGAAGTGTTTGCAAAGCTAGATGGGGCATCATCAACATCAGAAATTGAGGAGTTGAGCATATCCTTTGACTCATCTAAAGATAGAAACATATTAGGTAGTACTAAAAATGAAGGCTTAGAGATTGATTGTAGGGGATTAGACCATGCAGACTCGGTGGGGTTATTAGTGATTAATAGCAGAACCAAGTATTTGGTTAATTGGTTGGTTAATGCATTAATGAGTCTTAAGCATCCACATCATGAAAATAGGCTTTCGCTAATTAGGATTTATGGACCCAAGGTAAGTTCTTTTCGTGGACCCGCCATTGCATTTAATATATTTGACTGGAAGGGAGAAAAAGTTGATCCCGCGCTTGTGCAGAAGCTTGCTGATAGGAACAACATCTCTTTAAGTAGCTCGTTTTTGAGAAATTTAAGGTTCTCAGACAAGAATGAAGAGGAAACTCATTGGGCCTTAGAAACAAGAGCGTCTGAGGTTCAAGGGTTGGGCCTGTCCAAGAAGACACGTAGGGAAGAGTCTGGGATTTTTGTCGTCACAGCTGCACTGGGCCTCGTGACAAACTTCGAAGATGTTTACCGATTATGGGCTTTCCTTTCGAGGTTCCTGGATGCAGATTTTGTGGAGAAAGAGAAATGGAGGTACATGGCTCTAAATCAAAACACTATCGAAGTATGAATGCGTAGCTTACTTTTTCTTTTTTTTTTTTCTCTTTGTTATTTTTCTAGTTAATTACCATTTTTATGGTTACATTATTTTTTAATTATGTTGAGCATATGAAGATTTGTACCGAGGTTTTGTTTAATAAATCTCTCTCTACATTCGCTTTGGAAAACACAGAATTTTTAAGATCAATTCTTTTAATATTTCACTTGACTATAAAACTTAATCTCCGTCAACTAAACAACAGATAAAGAAATTAAATAAAGTTTTATGACAAAATGTCAATAATCATAACACCCCTTGCAGAGTTGCAGTTCCAGTTTTAAATCATCTAGCTCCTTTTGTAAATTTGAATTTGAATATGATCTGGTGGATAACCAAATGATGGAAATGTTCTAACAGTATTACTCATTCCCCATCCTGCACCAGCATGTAATGCCTAATAGGAAATGTAAATGATTAAAAGCAAGGTGAAATTAGGAGACAAGAATAAATTTTCTTCATAATGCAGATGAGTATATATTGCATCTTGTTTGTCTGTGATAATACATTTGCATAAATTTCCTGCATGTTGGTTTGAAGAATATGAAGTAACTGATGAACTCCAAATTGTTATATATATATATATATATATATATATGAAAATCCGTTTACATCAGGAGTAAATCTACATAGACTTATTCCGTTAAATAACTCATGTTCTACATTAAATTTTAACGATTTAATCGTTGAATTTAAAATTTTTAATGCATAAGTTAAATTATAAATTTTTTAAAAATTTAAAAATCATTTGATACTTCGTTTCATTAATGTAAATCAATATATAAAATGATTTTATGATTGTCGGTCAATTTGATGTAAAACATGAGTTATTTAAAAATATGTGTCATACACTAATATTTTAACATGTAATTCTACAATATAAATATATATTTTATATAATTATAATTCATAATAAAGAATTTATATTTTTTATTATGATAAATAATTTGTATTGTAATATAAAATTGTGTGTGTCTATAATGCACCTTCCAAGAAAATAAGAAAGTATGTTGAAAATTACTAATTGAAAGAGTGGAGATAATGAGAACTAGACTATTTAACTTAAATTTTTTCATTTATAGTAAAGAAAATATTCTTTTATAATTTGAGTTTTAGTTTGTGTTTCTCATTTTTGTTCAAAAGATATTAACATTAAACTCATGCACTATTATTATTATCATTATTATAAGAATTCATCATGATCCTACACTTAGGAATCAACTACTAGTAGTAGAAATAAAACAATTTTCTAAGGTTCATATATCTATAATTACTAGAAATTATGGTAATAATGTATACATATATGCAATATTTTTTTTTTTGTAACAACTAAACTACTATACAAGTATATATGTATATATGAGCAACTCTACCAAAACTTATATAAAAGTAGTCTTCAACTGCACTGCCATTGCATAGCATGACTTTTCACATGTTGGACTCCTTAAGCCTATCCTTGCACTGTTCACGTGTAAACATGATCATCGTAGTCCAACCACCAAAAAACATGTAAGAATAAAATATAGCACAAGTATATAAATGAAAGCATTTATACTACTCACCAATATGTAAAACCATACACATATCACCTCATAGTCCACAACATAACAACATACCAAATATCTCAATATGGCATTCAACAACCATACAAAAGTAAGAAACTTACAATATATGATTCATCATATTTCACCACATCAATGTCATTCAACTATATAATCAACAAACATATGAACAACATCAAATCACACCATATCATATGCATACACCTCAATTAATGCATTGTCACACATTTACCTACAAAAATCTCCTACAACAAAGGTGAACAGTCTAAGTGGTTTGTCCTACTGAATCAACACAACCTTTTTACACATGTTAGGTCAATAACCAAATTGGGGTTCCAATCCCTAACAATATGATTTCTCATATATAATCACTTAAATTAGAATTCTAGTATTCTTGTTAGGGTGAAACAGTTTAGATATGAGTTTACTACAACATTAGCTTGCAATACTAAGTCTCCTATGGGATTAGCTCATCGACTATTCTCCAAATACTATGTCCTTCCAATACTTAGTTGGGAATTAAGTCCTCGACCTTGTACCTTACTCGATTGGTCACTTTTTACACGTATGTTTCGACTTTACCTACATATGAATCAACATTGGCCACTTGTAACTAGTATGTCTCAACCTAGCCCACATATCGTATTAACTAATTAAGATCCAAGAGGTGACTTAAATTTCTACTTCAAGAGTCAACTACTAAGAAGAGTTTTCAACAAATTGAGTTCTCAAAACACCTCACCAATATCATCACAATAAGATATCTAACTTTCGAAAACACTCTCCCCTCTAATCCTAAATCAATCAAAATGTCTAAACGCTTATAACATTCTCAGCATCACACTACAACAATGTATCAACACAACATGTCTAAATGCCTAAAGCATTCTTAGCATCGCATTTCAACAATTATCATGCATTATCCTAAGTCTAATTTATATGTTTAAAAATATTTATTTATACAAATTTTAAATATATATATATATATATATATATAAATTGTATATAATAAATATTTAATTTGTCAAATTTACATTCTAATATATATATATATATAGTACACAATTTTTTTTTAATCTTTTCAACTTTAGTCTTTGGGTCGTTGCCCCTCTTACAAGGCTTCGTGGATGATATAAAAACTATTATGGCCATTTTGTCCTCATTTGAAACATTTGCGCTTACCTTTATTGTACCAAATACTGACTGACACACTATAGCTATTGGTTCAAATAATGAAGCATACGTTCTCATCCAATTTTAATGCAATTTCTTTACATTCTAAACAATTGTCTTTGTTCTACATTTTTGTGCAATTTCTCTTCTCGCGTATCTACATTCTTGCATATATTTTTTTATTATTATTTTACATTCAATTAACTTACTTTATTTGTATAGTCAATTATTTACATTTTCTACAGACTACTTTACATTATTTTAGTTGCTTTTATTTATGTTTTTGCCTTTGTCTTTTCCGCAAACTATCTTTTAATGTAATCTCGTCATTGTAATTTAGGTTGATAAAAAAATCATCTTAACTTTTATTTAAATTCAAACATTTTAGCCTTGAAGTTCTTTAATTTTCTGTATTTTAATTCTGTTATTTTATTTCTTTCACTTTAAATTTCATGCATTTTATTTGGTTTCATTTTAATTTGAAGTCATTTACTCTCTTGTAGGCTTTAAATTATTGGAAGTTTCTTTTAAAATCTTTCGGCAACTACATTTTTTTTTGTTAGATTTTATTCGTCTTATTGAATTCGTTGTTCAATTAGGTTCAATGCTTTGTTTATAAGTTTTCATACTTATTCATTTTCAAAATAAATAAATAAATAAATAAATAAATACACGTGCCCGTCAACTCCGTACTGATCTTCGTACTACTTCTCTTGATGGTAAAACAATGCGCGAGTTCTTGTCTCAGATCAAGAACATTGCTGACGAACTTGCTGGCGTAGGACATCCTGTTCCTCTTGACGAATATGTTGATGCGATTTTAGAAGGTTTACCACAAGATTATGCCCCGGTGGTTTCTGTTATTGAAAGTAAGTTTGCTACTCCTCCAATTGCTGAGGTTGAAGCTCTTCTTCTTGCGCATGAATCTCGCAGCAATAGATTTCGCAAACAATCCTTCTCTCCTTCTATTAATTACACTCATGGGTATGCTCGAGGTAGTGTAAATCGTGGTGGTGGCAATAGTGGTCGTCGTGGAGGTAGTTCTGGCAGAGGTCGTGGAGGACGTTTTGCAAACTTTCAATGTCAGATTTGCTTAAAATATGGTCACACTGCCAATATTTGCTTTTATAGAGCTGATGCAAATTATCAACCTCATGACTCTTTGGTTCTATATGATCCTTCAACTCTGCAACCTGTGCAGTTCAATCCCTCTCCATCCATCACCAAAGCCTCTAATACTTGGGTGAATCCCACCTCCAAGCAACTCAGTCAAGACACTAATGTCACCTCAGTCACTCCCAGTGCTATGCTTGCTAATACTTCTTCTCAGGGTGCTGTCAACTCTACTTGGATCCCTGATTCCGGTGCTTCCTTCCATGTCACTGGTGAGCCTCAGAATGTCCATCAGCTTGGTCACTTTGATGGCCCAGACCAAATTTTCATTGGAAATGGTCAAGGTTTGCATATTAATGGTTCTGGTTTCTCCTCCTTCTTGTCTCCTATTAAATCCAATTTTTGCTTTAAATTGAACGATCTTCTTCATGTTCCCTCCATCACAAAAAATTTGTTAAGTGTCAGTAAATTTGCCAAAGACAATTCAGTGTACTTTGAATTTCACTCGCATTGTTGTTTTGTGAAATCTCAGGTGACCCATGAAATCTTACTTCAGGGAGTAGTTGGTTCTGATGGACTTTATTCCTTCTCAAATTTAGAGCTTCAAGGCCCCTCTATGTTGGTGTCCTCTTCAATGGCATCATCTGTTGATCCTGCTGTGTCTGCTTGTCCCAATGCAGTTTCTAATTCCACTAATGCAAATAAATTTTCTGATGTATCTTTGACTCCTAGTTCTCACACTTTGTGGCATACTAGGCTTGGTCACCTCAATTCTCATGTTCTTAAACTTGTTCTTAATCATTGTAATATTGCTCCATCTAATAGAAATGTTTCTGAGTTTTGTTCTTCGTGTTGTGTAGGG